AAAATACATCTCTTATAATTATAATCAATGGTAATACTTGTTCACACTTAATTTATAATTCATAAAATTGTCTCTCAATAGGCAACATTTGTTATTTTCTCACCTATTTCCAAATACTTTTGATGCAATGGATCATAGTTCTCCCAAGTGATGCTGCGAAAGCGATTGCGTTCCTTTGAGACGGGCAGCACAGAGTCCTGGCGATGATGTTCGTTCGGGTTGCTAAAATCGCAAGAGAAGCGGAACGAGAGAGGGCAGAGAAAGATGCACACTTTAGTTGAGTATTTCTGAGAATTTTCGTTGCCCGCTCCGGGCATTTCGTTGTCTAGGGGGAAAAGTCTTCAAGTTGGGTTTGTTCGCTGCATAGGTAGTCAGGCAGCAGGTGCCGGAAAACTGCTGCTCAGCTGTCCATGGAAGCACTTTCCTTTATTTTCCTTTCGCACACTGACAATCAGTACTAAGTGATGCACACGAAGGAGAAGTGTTTAGAATAGCAGAAGCTCTGTCGCTTGGATGACTTGAATTACGGTAAGTGGCTAAGCACTTGGATGCTGTATGATGGAGTGGGGGAATTGGACGAGGACCGAGGGCAACAGGTAACAGGTAACGGGCAAATGCAACTACTTAGCTTACCCGGTGCGCGCAAAATTCGTCCAGTATATCATGACGGCCTCTGACAGCGCCGTCTCGGACTTGGTGTAGTTTTGCGGAAAGTGGCTGAAGCCATCGACGAGCGGTGCACCGAATATGTAAGGCAGGTCCTCGCCATGCACCGTGCCCATGCGCTGGGGATAGTCCCCATCCTTGGTCTGATAGTCGAACACATAGAAGTAGCAGCGGCCCGCGGGCTGCGTAGACGCCGCCAAGGTAGAAGCGGCGGCACTCGCTGCTCCACTGGGCGTCGCCGAGCTCACCGGTGGCGGCGAATTGGCCGCCAATATGTCTCCAGTGCGCACTATGGGCGCCACGAACTGGGCATCGGATAACGCGGCAACAGCCGTATCGCGCGTGTTAATCGGATGCTGTGAAGTGCGATCCCAGTCCGTGTACTCGTTGACAATCTGAGAAGCAGAGACGATATTTATTAATTCACAA